TCGGCTGTTTTTTCCTTGTTCTTCGTATTTTTTTTTACTGTTGGCATTCTCATTTTGCGTTTTGAATGCTTTTCCTTTTTGTTCGTTTTCTTCTTCTTTTTTGCCGGTTTCTTCGGATTTGCTGGTGCTGGTCTGGGGCCAGAACCTTCCGGCTCGCTCTTGCCCAGAGCGCAACCCACAAGGTCTTTTTCAGCAAATTTCGTCAATTCTGCTTTGAGATTTTCCCTAAAATTATGAGGAAGTTAGTTGAAGAACATTAAACGATTTACGGTTTCTAACTCACTTTAGTATTATCTCGACTTTATAATCTTTGTGACCCACAAATACCTTTGCCAAGCTCGCCTCCGTAACACTTGGAAACACAACTCCTTTTACTACAGCAGTGAGGTTGTTAGATGTCACATGCCAACTTTTCGTAAAAGCAGAAGCACCACGTCTGTAAAATAATTACCAAGACATCGAACTGACATGCCACATACATTAATTCCCTCTAGGTTTCGATAATGAAAGTACCTTCAGAGAAGATGTTTTGAGCATGAGCTAATAGAAATCACATGTTGGAACAATAATCGAGAACTTGTACACATACCTCATCGATCAATTCTATTACGCTTTGCCTTTCCTCGTCATTGGACTTTTCGTCGGGCGAATATGCCTTCCAAAAGGATCTGCATCCTTCCCAGTCAGGGTCAAAAGCGCTAGTTGTGACCTACAATATCTAGAAAAAGAACATTTGCGACGAAATTGTGAAACCCACCGATAGCAGAAAGAAAAGACGCTTCATCTCAAAACGGCTGATGGCATGGTTTTACTTATAAATTGCTCATGAAGGTTTGTTACATCAGAAGTATGCACTTGTTTCACTTGTAAGCTTCGTATCCCATAATATGTGGCCAACTGTTATATAAATGTACTTGTACGATTTGTACAGCTCCACATCAATGCTACTTGAAAAATATTTTCCTCTATAGTTACTTAATATGCTATCGCTTTGAGAAGGGCTATAAGGGTCCTTCATAGCAGCCGACAGCCTTCTGTAGGAGCCGGTAAGCACCGGTAGCTTTTCTTTTCTCAATACGCCCGAAGTATTAGAGCACGTTTGTTACCTACGCAGGCATAGCATGGGGCCTCACCAAACATAATTAAACATTATTTGTATTCCTAGTTAGCACGCACTTCTTATGACCCCAGTGTACCAGGTTCTAATGAAATTTGTGGTTCACAATGAGCTACCAAGTGAAATGGTCATTTTCAAAAATGATTAGCTTTGTTTTCATTTGAGGAATCTTCCCCTTAGATAACCGCTATATGGGATTGGAAGCCAACCAAAATCTCTTTGTCCCAATCTTCGCTGTATTGGTTGTACGTTCAGCCACCGCACACACACGAAGAGGACAAATCAGGTTCAGATTACTTCTGTGAAAACCACGAGGTCTAGGCTATGGCTATGTATACACCATTCGCTAAATGTTTTGGAAGGAAGTTAATGGTAGGTGGCACAACCTCAGAAAGGTGTGGCTGCCACACTTTTTTGAAATTGTGGCAACCCTGATAACTTATCTCCAAAACGTTTGATATACTTCTCTACAATTTACATTAATTAAAACCGCCAAATCTTCTTTTTTAATAGCACGATTTCACCCCAATTTGTTCCTCTTAGATAAAGAAGCGGTTTCTCAATTCTTTGTCTATAGCAAAGGTCACGGTAGTATGCTAAATCTGCGCTATGTATCATAGTGTCTTGCGAAGAAAGGTGGCAAATGTAGCATATTCGATGTGCATATCTTGTGATTTTCACGGGAGTGATTTCAATCCGATTCATCTTCTTTATTCTAAGTAGTAGTCGCTAAAGCATAACCACTTTGAGCAAGAATGACAAAAGAGAGTTCCTAATTCGATTTTTTTTACGGTTATTTGAAGTGGAATTCCTAGTGTGGGCAAAGACTGAGCAGCTCTTTGGAATGAGGGCAAAAGAAAATAGCCAGATCACCTTCGAAGTCCACCATGTTCATGTATGTTCCGTTTCACTAAGTGCCTGATATCAGAAAACCTCAGAATTAGCTAGATTTTGACACAAGGGTATATGACATACTATTAAAGGCAGTGTCCAGGCTAAACTTAACCTCCTCCGATTAATGTCGATCCTGAATGTAGGCCTCAGAAAAGGGGATCTGCGTTGGTCCGGTCTTCTAACGTGTCTCGGGATGGAGATAAGGGACCTGGAAGTCCCTGGCTGGACGGAGCCTGATATCAGACTCCGCCCAGCCAAGGTCTGCCTCTCGACATGTACTGACGTGGCAGTGAGCAGAAGCTGCACACTGCTGCAGCTCCTCCCCGCTGGCCTGCCGACGGGAACGAACGATTCGAAACTCGTCCGCGCCCTCACAGGGTCCCCAGGAATCGGGTTTTTTGTGAATTTTGGAGAGTTTGAAGTTCGGAGCTGTAATCAGGGCCACGAAAAGGTCCCAGAATGACCGAAACATGGGGGGCCAAATTCTGGGTGGACGACAAAAATAGTACTCAGTATGCTTGATAGGATTCTTGTGCTTAATGCAATACCTCTATTCTCGTATTCTGCATAATGGGACCAGACATTGATAAAACCACCATTATGTTAACGCTAATATCAGTCTCATGTTGATCACAACGATTTTGAACAACGATTTAATTGGGGCCAAATGGTTCGCCGTATTCAAGCTTCTAAACGCTCATAACTTATTCCAAAGAATCTGGCAACAGATATTGAGGTTAGATTTGGATTCTGCTCAACAAAACGCATCTAATGATGTGCATTTCGTCCTCGCCAAGTGATTTCAGATCGCTCCCGTGATCAGGGCCCGGCGGGGGTGGCGCTTTCACATCCCGTGATCAGGGCCCGGCGGGGGTGGCGCTTTCACAAGCTGGATATCGTTTTTGGCCCGAAAAAGCAAAGGGGAAGTCGTATTTTGGGGTCCGGGGCTCCGCCCCGGACCCCAAAATACGACTTCTCCTTTGTTTACCGATAAACAATGCACATATCATTCCTTATTCATCATTGCTTGTTGATGCTACTGTCCTATGAACTTAGATTCCAGCAATATGAAGATTCTGTGCTCCGATCGCTAGCTTGCCCGCAAGCGGGATTTCAAATCGCAATTCTTGTAAGAGGAAAATAACAGAATAGGCTCGTTTTCAATGCACAAGTAACGATATGGCACCAAATTTGCTGTATACTTGGAGGACCATGAGCACAAAAAAAGTATGAAGAATTATGAGAAACTCATGTGAATTTAAAAAAATGGTAAGTGTTTTTCGAAATTAGGTGGCTCCCGCGCCACCTGGGAGCCACCTGGGGTGGCTCCCTGCTTCCCCTCACATAATTTCCCGGATTTCTTTACATAAATGTGGACTAGGTCGAGAGTATTACTATATGTTCAAATCCGCTTCCAAAACCACCAGGGCACTGCTTCGATACAGCCCCAAATAGGGTTCACAGCGTTATGATCGGCCTCGGAAAGCGCGCTCCAATCGCAATCGGTTATTGTAAATTGTAAAGTTTCGCAGCTGACTAATGAATGAGTAGTATCTTAGATATATAAACATCAAAGTTTGTGCAAATCTTGACCCTATGTTTTTTATAGATTCCTTTGCGGATGAACCCATTGAGCTGCAACCTTGAAAACATATGTTTTCGGCCTCGGTAAATGGTTTTAAGCTACCCTTCGAAGCAATTCGTGGAATTCTTCTATCGATTTAATGATTTTTGGCACCTCAAGGAAAGTGAACACTTACCAGCCGCTAACAAACTGCTTGCACATTTTGGTGTGAACAATGCAGTGAAGTTCATTTCTACTTTAAAATTAGAAGGTGCAGTCACTCCAATAAGCCTTTCTGAGGTAAGCTCGTGCAGGAGGGTAAGGGTGAGGGCTGCAGTGCAGTATTGATACTGCAGAAAAGGGGTGAAGAATATGGCCCAGAAGGACGGGAAGGTAGAATGACAAAGTGTGGCTTTTAGCCATCCCCTCAAGCGATGACCCGGGCTGGACCAGGAAAGCCAGGTAGTACTACTATAATAAGCGCTGAGGCCGCCCATCTTATTATTTGTGTATATCTGTTTGTCAGGGAGTCACGGGGGTCAAAAATAGGGTCAAAGGGGAAGTCGTAAGAAATTTTGGCTTCAAAGGGGATATCGTTTGCAAAATTCTGAAATGCCACCTCCTGCCGGGCCCTGCCCCTGATGTTTCGACATAGAAGGGACCTCACCGTATGGGATGAGCCAGTTAGGCCATAAACAATGAGTCTAATTCAAATTTGTACCACTGCTATATGAAGTATACTGGCTGGCTATCAATTTACTGTTTGAATATCAATTTCTCTCATAAGCTTTTCAGTGGCTATATTTCTTCTATCTCCTCTTTGATAACCGTAGTTTCTAATCAACAGCTTTGGCTTTCTTCTTTTTGCGCATGTAAACCCATGAACTTCCTCTGAGCGTTTCTTGTATCGCTTGACCACCAAACCTTCTTTGTGTGATATAAAGAGATCCACGAGACCACATGAAGACCCTCTGTATCATTGGGAATGACAGTGGCCTTTCGCGAGCATGCTTTCTAATCATTTCTCAGGCTTAATTGGCAACCGAAGGTCCGCCCTCCACCCGCCAGTTCCCGTAAAACAGAGGGTGACCAATGTAGGATCCGAAGTTCAATTTTGCTGAGGAATATCTCGCTCGCTCAGATATTTCTCTTCAGCATATACAAACGAATGCATAATGTTGACATCGTGCAAATATTGATGTTTAGATTCTTTAACCTTCAATATGCACATATATAGTAGAATTATAAGAAGACGATAGAAATCGAAAGGAAGTGCCGTGCTACAAATAAGAGGTGAAGTATTTTATGAAACTCTTATAAAACTTGGCTAATGCTTGAAATAGATCAAGAACTTTGATGCATAACAGCTGTCACTGTTGCGTCATTTGCAAAGGCTATTACTATGTGATTGTGTCTGATTTTTTTGCGAATCAATAAAACAATTTATTCGGTACTCGTAACAACAAGTTGCACAGACAAATGTTTTCAGTTCTTGACTAGATTATAGTGACGAGGATTCTAACCATTTGCAAGAGAAGTTACTACATCGTAAGTGAATTCATACTTGTCGGTATTGTTGCGGAGGATGGAAAAGTGACCAGATAATCTCACTGACAAATAGATAGACGCAAATAATACGCAAATTATCATCGACACAAGTGTGCGGTGATTTTGGCAGGGCGTAGCGCAAGATTTTATTTGGAAAATGTTTGTTTGCGTAAGGAAACGCATGGCGTATTTTGTTAGAAGCACACCACGCCCTGCTATGAATATACTAGACGAATCGTGAAAGCCAATATCGAGACTGGGGTTGTCATGCATATCAATTGCCCTCCACCTCCTCTTCCTTGACCTCCTCTTCTGGGTTGAAGTTGTGTTCGTCGATCACCTCTTCCGGAAATTCCAACTCCCAGATTCGTTTCAAGTGCTTTCCTTTCACATCACGAGGCGTTCCGAAACCTGTCATACCCTAAATCAGCTTTTATAGTACGAATCTTTGAGCAAATCAGAAAAAAAGTAGAAATCAAGATTTTTCCGCATATAACCTTTCCATTTATAACTAGTCAATCCCTTGTTTTGTATATTCCCAAATCGAACAAAAGTCTTCACTTCTGTGAATACATGCCGGTAATTCGACCACTTCGCCAAGCCCCCGTATAACTCATGATATCGCAAGGATATCTCACGTATGTGCAGCTAAGCAGCCAAGGACTATGTACTCAAGCGAAACCGTGGGTTTTTTCTGTAAACACTGTCACAAGAGGAGGCACAGAGAGGAGGAAACGCTAAAAGTGAACAGCCCTCAGCGCTCTCAGACGTTGCTAACTTTACTGCAAAACAGAAAACTATCCAAAGCTCATTAGCTTCCGCCTAACTTGAGATAAATGAGCATACAAAAAAGCTCTGCCCTATCACAGAAATCCTTGTCCTTCATTACAGTTGCGTGTACTAACCTTGAAAACTAAAATCCCTTAATAGTCCACCGTTTGGGTACTGCACTTGTATAGAGTCACTTTAGATTGTAAAAAAGAGCAGTAGGCAGCAAGATCTGGACAAGACGAAATCACGCGCTTCGACCTAATAATCATAATCTAATTTCTTTGAAGGTTTTATTTCTGTGCAAAAGATCGTTAGAGTGAGGTCGCCTGGAATTCAATGGAGGCCGCTTATGCTACCCAGCAGGATGGATAAAAAATGTAAGAAGGAGAACATTTGATAGAATAAAGCAAGTTCTACGAGATGGTACATAAAAAATTTCTGTAAGTTAGGTTCAGAGTTCATTCACAGTTCAGAAGCGAAATCTAAAGAGTTTTTGGCCCCAAAATTAGATTTCGTCCAAGAAAGATCCCGCGAACCTCCATTTTACTCATTCATATACTTTCCACATCACACATTTGTATGTACACTCGCTGTTTTTCCGGACTTTCCCAGACCAGAATAGAAATCGGAAAACGAAAGCAAATAAAAAAATGTCGCCTTTTTGGTTCTCATGCTGATAATTTTTTAATTCTTCTCAAGCATAGCTTATAGAAGGCTAATAATTCATGATCATACTTGCAAACGTTTGTAGTATTCATTTATTTGCCTGAGGAAAACCCATCATTGTTTTTACGAGAGTGCGCCGATTGTAGTTTTCTAAATAACCGTCGAAAAAATACGGCAAGATTACTTAGGAGTTCTGATGTGGATGATTTATGCTTGATCAAATTGGACTTCGCAAGATCTTTCTGAACCAGAAAAATATGATTTTTTTTACTTGAAATCCTCTCAAATTTTGTCTTCAAACTTCACTTGGATAGATATTTTCGCGAGAGTGCTAGTGCCATCTTATGCAGCTTTCTTTGCTCTAACGAATAATGTGTATCCTAATGTTTTTACCCAAGCTACCGGGTAGTGCAAGGAACCGTCATTAATTTCTGAATAACCCAACAGAGAAACAGGAAGGTTAGGCTGACAGATAACAGGACTCTTGAGTTAGTAGGACAAGCACCTTTTGACTTTCGAACTGATTCGAGCCGGATTGGAGTCGAACAGTGGCATCACTTGATCTCATTTGCTCAATTGTCCAGCGCTTGCCGTCGTCTGCGAATTCGACGCCAGTCACAGCGTTTCTTGGCATTCCGAAGCCGGTCTTGCCCTATGCACAAACACAATGGACATTCACACCAAAGAACACATTGATCACAAATGCAGAGAATGCACGTACAATTAGCTGCAAGCGTGGACGCGTACGCCGCAGTTTTGTGCATTCTCTACGTTTGCTAACCACTACTACTAAAACAAATATTGCAAGGCGATGTTTGGTACATATACTGCCGACAGTTTACCATCCACAAGAAAAGCTAATGAGGGCTGAGATCACTGTAATTCTAATAATTTAACTATTTGTTCAAGGTTTTCATCATTTCTTCCTTTCTGGTGTAGCTTGAGTGTATTAGTAAAAAGCGAAAAAATTCAATAATTCAAATCGCACAGATATGAACAACGATGTTATGAAACGTGAGCACATAGCACATGCTCGTCATATACAGGGTGTCCCAAAAAGATGTGCACTGTTTGATCGTTACTAGCTCTCCTGCTTTCATGTCTTTTGCCGACCCTGATGTATCATTTTATAGAGCAAGGTTCAACTTAGATTTACAGTTTGGAGCGGATAATATTACGTTTTGAACTTTCAGCATACAGCGCCAGTGTGGAACAGGCCTTTTGATGAAAAAAATTCCAAAAAATCTGGAAATTGGTGTAGCAAGGTTTTCAGGCGTGCTGATTTCACTACATAACTTTTCACCAGCTTTTTGAGCTCTTTTAATAGCGTAACCACACTTTTGACGAACATTGGCAAAACAGATATTACCTCAGATCTGAAATAACTTACGAAGAAAGCATTGCAGTGAAGTCTAAATTTCATATTTAGAATGAGAGACTTCGACTAGTCCAAGATTCTGGCTAATTTGGTTTTCTTTCTGAGACAAAAATCGCTTTCAATGGTCTAAAATCCCTTTAAAATTCGCACCGTAATCCTACAGTGACGAAGAAAGAACGGAGATTCGCTCCTTATTATAAATCTAAGTTGAGCCTCGCTCTGCAGAACGTACCTTAAGCTCGACGAAGGACTTTCAAGCAAAAGAGTTATTGACGATCAAATAGTCTGCACATCTTTTTGGGACACCCTGTATGTAGAATTTGGCCCGCCAGTGCAGTCACATGAATTCATCGACTATACCGATCATTGATCCAAGAAGTTCTTTTTGATAAATGCCAGCGATGTTTCATAATGCCATCCGAAACATTTATTGACGCATGAGATTACGATGTGCAAGCCGAGAGGACAAACATAACCACAAAATTACAGCTGCGCCTTGCCGCAACAAAAAAAAGCGCAACGAGAATGAATAGCTACGATATAGAAAAGGCCAGCTATAGTGTAGAAAAACGAACTTACCCTTTGCGAATCGAACTGATTGGTTCCACTTTGTAATGGAACGATAGCATCGGTCTGTCTCAGCTGACGTAGCGTCCATTTTCCTAAAAACAATATCAACTAAGTTACTGTAATATGGACAAGAAGTATTAAAGAGAAAATGAATGAAAATCTCACCATCTCTAGTTCTTCTCTCATTCTGATCAGTGCTAGGCACTTCAACAGCAGCAACCTTGAGTCCAGCCTCTACAAATAATTTCGCATGGTTTTTAGAAAAAATTCCCAATTATATAGATTTTGAAAGGTAGTAAAACAAAGAAAGTTGATATCTTGCACTGAGTAATGACTTGAAAGTTTCGACAAGAAAATCTTCGGTGCGAGTGCTAAGGTATCCAACAATTCTGCTGAAGACTTGAAGATGCAGATTTGGAAAAAACATGAGGGTTACCGTATTGCAGTGAGACAAAATTTATGTTACAAGTGCAAAAAAGCAAAATGTGTGTGAAGGGCTATACATACGGACAAGAATAAAATGCATGATAATAAGGCACTAGTATCATTTACAGTGTAGTACGATGAATATCACGGAGTGAATATACGCACAGCGAATATCAAAGTAGCTTACCGTGAGCGACGGCAGTCTGAGGAGCAGCCATGATTCGAACTGAGGTTTGCCTACCAGCCGAGAGCGCTTTTCTTTCCTCCTGACCTCTCCACCTCTTCGATCACAAACACGATCCGGCACTCTGTCATCTCCACGCTCAAGCACGATTTTCACCGCTGATCCAGCTACGAGGATCTCTTCGCCGAGTTCCTTTGCGAAGCGAGTTCTCGACGTTTGCCCGATCTGCGCCTCTGCTCCGTGAGCACTTCCTTCCCCACACAGCCCACACCTCCACACCTCTTGAGAGGCAATGACTCACATCCGACATCTGGCGCTTCTTCCAAAATGACGTACGAGGGTATTTCCTGCTTATTCTCATTGCTACTCCTGTGCTTTACAAACTGACAGCTGTGCTTCCTATGCGACCGTCAACATTCAACTCAGCGGCTTTGAAGTGATGTTTGTGCTTGACAACTGCATTTCATGAAGGCACAGTTTGGTTCTAAACATAGGTTCAAGAGACTGCACCGGTAAGAAAAGTAGTGAATGGAACGATAGGTCAGAGATCAATATTCGACAAATTATCCAAAAAAGATCTTCAAGGCGAGAGAGATACCTTACCTATCCTACCTTCTTCAAAAAAGTTAGTTATGTAAGGTATCTGGTTCTATACAGCTGATATTTATCTTGCGCTTGTATCATCAATCAAATAATCTAATTTCTTCATTACCTATTATACTTTTGCTGTCCATAATTAGCGATATTGTCGTTTTTGTGAAAAAAGCTGGCAATTGTTCATTTTTTAGTTAATGCAAAACGAAGTCCATGTCACCGAACTTGTCCAAGAACTAATGGATGTGAGAATGAGTGAAAGAAAAGGATGAATGCATCAACAATGACTTTCTCTGTGATCAGGTGTCTCTAATCAGCTGAATTTGCATGACATGAACCTGTTTGGCCGTTTATAAATTATGTATAATTCTTATTTTATTTAAGCAGGCTAAAATCATCGTGGCGAATTTTACACTGCGCAGCACAATTTTCACCTTTACTGAAAAGGGAGAAAAGGTTGACCGAAGGTCTTTCAAAATGAATATATAATGTTTTATAGAGCTTGAAACGCGCTGATTCCAAATCTGCCTTCGCTATCTGCTGCGGGCTTCTGGACGAGGAGTTATGAAGATTTTTATGAGTAAAACCTCGATTGCAACATTAATGTAAAATCAATCGCAACATTTTTTCTCGGACTTGGTAGTCGGGTCACTCGGTACAACAAACATTCTTAACTCAAATATACCAACTCGATCCTGCCTCATTTGAACGTTAGGGAAAGGTTACGACTGATTTCATACTAATTTTGCATTTGAATTTTTACTCACCAAAACCTTTATACCTGCGGCCCAGAAACCCCAGCAGATAGCAAAGGCAGATTTAGAATCAGCGTTCCAAGCTCTACAAGAAATTATACATCCCATCTCAGAAGGCCACTTCGACCAACCTTCATTCCCTTGTGAGTCTGTTAGCTGCAATCCCCGGAACATGCTCGCACTCATCAGAATGGTTTTCTTCAAAATTTTCCACATGCTCTCCATATCCGCCACCACTCAAGATAATGTGATGATTTAAGAAAGTTTCTAAATTAGCATGTGCTTTACTTTGAAGGAAAATTTTCCAGAATTGTCGTTCTAGCATTACTTTTAGACTAGGGATCGATACTGTTTGAGTAGACGGTGGGCACAGGATGCAGTCAATTCTTAGAACGCATGTTTTTTCCCACTTCTATCGTCGATCCGCGCGCTGACTGTGGATTTTACCAGTCTAGTTGTTCGGAGAATGAACAGTTGATAATTACGCAGCCTGAGTGCTCGCTGATCGCGATGGGGATGTCGATACTGTGGGCGACGAAGTTGAGGGTGGTGTCGTCTCGGTGCGGATATCTCGAGATTCACCCACCTCCGCATCTCGATTCACTCCACGCAAGTCGACGCCTCGTACACACAAATAGCAGAAATAGGTTGATCAAACAGTTATTGCCTTTTTATGAGTGCACGATTTCATGTAGAAAAAGGACTCCAGCTTGCTGGGTATGCATCAAACACTGAGAACGGGATCTCATGGGTGCGGCGGTTTTCTGGTTTGCTATGTCATAATTCCAAAACTAGAGCCTCTTCTGTGGATAATACTCGGAATCTACTCTCAACTCAAGGAAACTTTTTTATTCAAAAAAAAACGGTTCAGAAATAGTTTTGGAGTTTGGCGAAGTTTGCATTTGACGAAGATCAGCATCCATTGTTTGCCAACCAGAAGCGGAAAAGATTCAAATCTCCCAGTTATTGCTTGTCTGAACATTGATATTTGATGGCTCTGTATAAAGTAAGATTTTTGCCAGTTTTTGAATTCAGAGTAGTTTGAGGCAAGTACTCAAAGTGCTCTACCGTTTATGGTCGGATGAATGCTAATAACATCTTCCCAGAAAATTGGGTACCAGCTCTCTAGCTTGTAATGAAAGGCTTTATTTGCGAAAAACGTTTTGCCATGGGTGAGCCGTTAGCTATTAAGACTCAGATGTTTACTAGACTACTGATAGTCTTTATTGATTCTTTATCTGTATCGTTGATAGGTTTCAAAATAAATTGTTTGATTTACAATGAGTCTAAATTTTGCACACTAACAGCTAAAATCAGTCATCTTTTGATTTTTTTTTCGTGAAGCAAAAACGACATGAATCTAGCTTTAAGCGCTTACTATCTCACCTACCTAACTAAACCTTACAGCAAAAGTTACGCATTTAAGAACCGATGGCTTACATCAAGAACGCATCAAGTGCTGAATTATGCCACACTTTCTGTTCTTCAAACTAGATTCATCAGGTCAAGCCCGAGTCCCACCTATTTCTTCCTATCACCCATCACAACTTATTTCGCTTGCGTAAGCAAAGGATGATGCAATAATGCTTGGTAAACAACATTCACAAACTGTTTCAAAATTCAGCAGAGCTTGAATCAACAGCAACTAAGTGACTAGGTGCGGATATTATTTCGTCTGATGCTAGTAATTGGGTAACTTCATCAAGTTGCATAGGTTGCCAAAAAACTGAGAAGACGATTGTGTGGGGAAGGTGGATAGCGAGGGGCCGAATGAGAAAGTCAAATGAATTAACAAAGCTGCATAAGAAATCTGTGCATTTTGCCTTGCTCGAGCAAGTTATTCGGGATCTGTTTGTTGAGCTTCGATATTGATTACCAACGCTCTCTTTATTTCTATAACGGTGTATAATTAGGGTTTCATGTAGCTTGTGTCCAAAATTTAGAACGAATGCAATCCCCTCCGGGGCAGGGGAGTAGCCTTAAAACAAGCTTCACATCTCAGAGCTCCAGAGTTTTATCAAACTGTTTATACATTTCCAAGTGTTAATGCCACTCCTTTACCATGACATAAAAAAAGTAACGCATTACCCTACTTTCCGGAGTATAAACCGCATTTCTTTTCACCGCGCGCGGGCTGAAATGCGATGTCGTCCGCGATGCGCCAAGCCGCAAAAGCAGCAACTAAAAGCAAAAGCAGCAACTATCTACTATCTATTTCGCATGATAATCTAATACGGATTTTCTGCTTTCGTTCTTTATTTGGTTTCTTCGCAAGTGTATTTGTTTGTAACAAAATTCTCTTCCTTCTCATTTATTCTTCAAGAATCCGCTGAACAATAGAAGAACGTTCGAATACCAGTAGTAGCATGAAGTCGAAAGGTGATAAGCTTCAAACCGATAAATCTAAATAAAAGAAAGCACAACTTCAGCACCAGTAACATCATTGAAAGGAATATATTTCCAACGTGCACACATACCTCATCTTTGAAGGCGCTTAATTTCCACCTTGACTTTGACTTTGACTTTTATTATGCTTACAATAAATAGATCAAAACAAAGTACATCGTATCGTCGATTTTTCAATTTGCTATATAGCTCTTTTCAAAGGCGCTTTCGCGCCATTGTTCGCTGCGGCAGGTGTGGCTTATACTCCAGAAAATAGGGTAATTGTATGCCGCATTTCTCAAGTTCTTCATGTCCATTTTCCAAGTGTACTGTTCTCCGATAACCCCTGCTGAGAACTTATTCTTTCATAGATCTTTCTTGCATCGAAATCTGTCAAAACATTCAAAAGTTGTATCAATTATCTGATCCAACAGCTAAGCACGTTTCTGATGGGAATCAATGGCGTATCGAAGTGATGATTTCGGTGAAACTCGATATGCTAAAAATTCGTTTGCTCTCATCAGAAGCATACTCCGCGCCTTGGAATAGATAACCAGTAAAACTTTGGAATTCATTAGCTTCGAAACAAGAGAGATAAATCTGAAGAATGACCGGCCGTCCGCCGCGATTCACGTGAAAGGTTCGGAAAGTCACTGCGCTCCTTACATTATGATTTAGTATAGATGGCCGTAGTAGAAAACCTGAGAATGGATAGACAGCGTTCTGAAACTCCGGAGCTTCAGGCTATAAAGTTTTCTTTTGAGTTGCCTGCGTTGCCCTACGAGGGAGGAACTCACGGAGAAAAAAGTCTCAAAATTAGTCTGTACTTGCTTCATAATGTTTAATCGTCAGTGTAGAAAGCTACACGATCTTTCACTAGCTTCCCGTATCATACTGATCTGAGCACATGGGGCACTATCATCTCAATATGCAAGCTACAGGAATTTGCCCAGAAAATAGTAACAAACAAAAAGACGCCAAGTTCCACGCAAAAGATCACAAAAAGCTTTCAAAAACTACTCGACGCTACTCCAACCACAATAAGTCTTCGTGTGTTAGCCACCCTAGAGTGCTTGCTAGCACGTGTCTGTTGGCGCTTAACTTCTTCACTTCAACCGCAGCACTTGAGCTTGACGCGAGGTCGCGCCGGCTGGTTTGACGCAGCGCGAATTCAGCCCTTAACAAACACCACAACAAACATAACACCAGCTGCCGGATGTGCTCCCGCTGTTACGAAATCGAAAGATCCGCGATGTTGGGGATGTCCACCTTTTCTCGTTCTACTCAACACCTCTAATATTTATTATTTTATAGGATGAATGAAGCTTTGCTCTTCTTCCTCTCTGTAACAACTTTGTAGATCACCAAACTGCTCAAACTCTGTCGCCCTCGCAAATAAATTGGTTGAAAAAGAAAGAATGTGCTTTTTCCTGGTTCTTTTTTTTTGGAGTTAAAACTGGTATTTCTCAGGAACGAGAGCATATCAAGGTCCAAGTTTCATGACTAATATCTCGAAGGTTTGTACTGCCAACTGCGTATATGGGCGGAGCACAGGACTACTACGAGTAGAGTTTGCTTTTTGTCGTTTTCAATTTTTTCTTGATTTCTAATAGCAAAAAAAACCTGTGGTAAGTGCACATACGTATAAGTGCACGTTTCCGCTACATGCTGGAGCAAGTGAGAGATTCGTGTTTTTTGAGGACAAAAATCCGGTTTTTGGCAGTATGAGTTGCTACGTTTTGGTTTTAAACTTTGGGTGAACCACGACTTAAGCCAGTGTTTAGATGTCACTTTATAAAGCTTCCTTTGCACTATCGAATGATATCCTTCACAAACTTTTTCCGTTCGTCCTGTTGCCCTGCTGTAAAAAATGGTATTCTGCTCTTTCCAACCTGATATTACTGCAAACTGGGTTTAGAATATAAATGAAGAATAAAGGATTTGGTCTTCAATACACCCCGCAGGCATGCGCCGAACGCACTCTGCTTCATAATCAAGGAGGCAATGTATGCGTGCGGACCTTACAGTGACTTGCGGGGGCCAGCCGTTTACCAAATCAATGCTTTTATCCTCCCAGATTACTCTGGTACTAATTTACCGGCCCGAGGGTAGAGGGCTTGGGGCTCAGGGGCGGGGATCGAACCTGTGTCCGATCTGGTCATAGCCCTCATACCACTACGCCACCCGTCCTCCTGGGTTTAGAATAAATAGAATAAAATGTAGACTTTAAAATATACAGGGTGTCCCAAAAAAATGTTAACACTGTTTGATCGTTAATAACTCCCTTGCTTTCAAGTCTTTCGCCGAGCTTTAGGTACCATTTTGTAGAGCGAGGATAAGCTTAGACTTACAGTATGGGAGCGAATCATCTAACGCTCCTCGTTACTGTAGAATTACGGTAGAAATTTTGACAAGGATTTTAGGCCATCAAGGGCCATTTTCAGCTTCGAAACAGAGTCAAACAAGCCAAAATCTCTTGTACTATGATAATGAAAGCCGCTGATTTCAAATATGAAGTTTCCATTTTGTTATGATGCTTTTTTTCAAAGTTATCCTAGGTAAAGTGTAATAACTGATTTACCAGCATGTGTCAAAAATGTGATTACATCGTCAAAAAAGCTGAAAACACTCGTAAAAAGTTGTGTAGTAAAATCAGCATGCGCAAAAACCCTAGTACACGATTTTTCAGATTTTTTGAAAAAAATTTTGTCAGAGGTCATATTTCACGACGGTTCCACATGCTGGAATTTCCCACCGTAATCCTACCGTAACGAAGAGCGAACGGTGATTCGCTCCATGCTGTAAATCTAAGTTGAACCTCGCTCTACAGAATGGTGCCTCAAGCTCGCCGAAAGACATGAAATCAAGGGAGTTATTAACGATCAAACAGTGTTAACAATTTTTTGGGACACCCTGTATATTGAGACACAGACTCTCTCTCTCTGGAAGATATCGACGCCGTGCTCTTCGCAAACTGGCCATATCAAAGCTTGATATGAAGGGAATCTGAAATCATGCCAAAAATTTAACGTACTACTGACCAGGAACGTATAGAGCATTCATAGAATCGTGACCATGACGGTGGTGGTGGGGCGCATCCACTGCGCAGTGTCGACAGCAATTTTTTTTTGATTTCCTATTACTCAAATCGTTTACTTGCATACGCATGATGCCCCTTGGATACTCTAAGTTCCTGAGCTGAACACTCAAGTGATGGCTTTTATTTGAACTGAGTAGGCGCAAAGACAGCAGTCGATCACGATTTTATGACAACATACTTCAGGTCAAAGTGACCAAATGAGACGAGATAGATACGTATTAGCAAATGCGCCGTAGTGTACTGATTACATCTCTCTTCATTACCTGCCAACTGCTTTTCTACGAGGAGTCATGAGCGCTTTTTTTTGCCAAAACTTGAAGGCGCAGCTAAATCAAAACCGTTTGAAGCGATCTTCTATGTATTTGAATTGAGAAGCTGATGTATTTATGTGAAGACACCCTATGCATTAAGTACCTCTCTTGATACCTTCACACTGGTGGCGTATCCAGGATTTCCGTTCGTGGGGGGGGGGAGAGGATTGGCAAAAAAATTTTTAATGAAGGTGCGTGGCGTTAGCCATGCATTCCGAATAAATCTTTGGGGCATAACTCATGTCGGTAACTTTCAAATGCCGTCTGAAGATGTTTGAATGGTATTAAATCATCCGCATGTTATTTCGCCCCAAGAAGCGGCCATAACCCCTCAACGGAAGGCGCTCCACAGCTGATGAAGACATTTGTGATCAACTTTATGCTACATCTCCGTGATATACATCACATTTGAAACTGCCACTTGGATTGAAAGTACATGGAGTTGGGAAAGTTTCTGGCCTCAGATACTTCGTGTGAAAATTTCATAAAAGATAAGTTTCTTTGCGACTTCATATATTATTTGCAGCTTATCACATCTCTTTTTAGTCATGCTGTTGCATAGAGGAAATCGTGATAAAATACTTTGAAAATCACCTGAAAGCTCAGTTGTTCTAGTGAGTTAATCCTGAAACCGCGCTTTGGAACAAAAGCTCAATCTTAAAAGCGAAAAATTGCTTTCCTCTAAGTGTACTAAACTAAGAAAAGAAGAAGTTTTCTTAGAGTGTACGCCGAAGTTTGCGACGAGTTGTGCATCAAATGCACGTAAAAGAGGCCAACAATTTTGGAGACAGAGATTCTGAACGCAACCCTTGCAAGTCGCTGTTCTGCGGTTGTAAAAATTTTACTGCGATATTACAGAACTTCTGGTGCTCAAAGAGAGTAAACCTAGTACAGCAAGTAGCAAAACAGGAAACTACCGTTTTCCGCCGGTCTAAAAAAATAAAGAAACGCAAGTTTTCGCCTCTTCAAGGGACGAGAAAGTATTATTTTCGTTTTAGGTTTGAATTGTTCCGACTACCCTGTACATTACTGGTGAAATTTCATATCGCGCCGAAACAGTTAATGGTGGTGATAACATGTGATGTGATAACACAAATTTGCTAACTTCAAATACTTTTTTGGGGAAACTGAGCTAACTTTGTGGAACCAAAGCGATTTTGAAACTGCGCAAGAATCTTATACCGTTGCGACCCTTAAACAGCATATCCGTTGCAAAAATTTTCCCAGACCACCCGCAGAATTGTATATGAACGACAAGCAAAATACAATGAGAGCATGAGATCCCGCGCTTTTTGTGTATCGACCGCTCTCATTTTGCCCCTTTAAGACACGGAGAACTCTTTTTTGCATTTTTTATGATTTTTCGTATCGTTTAAGAGTATTAGAGAGTCACATTATTATTAGAGAGTCACACAGACTTTTCTTGAGGTTGTACGAGAAAAAGAGATTAGAGGGTGTGGGCGTTATGAAATGTCTGCAATCTATCCAAAGGTGAAAGTGAAAAGTCAACTTATAACTGCCTGAACGGATTCCCCAAAGACACACTTGGCGGACTATTGACATGCACCTATCTAACTCAAACAACCGTCAGCGCTTTGTAAGATCGCAATCGGGGGATAGAGTCTCATTCCGCAAGTACGGGGTTTTATGTGTGCTCAAGCGCAAGAGCTCTTTTTCTAGAAACGGGAAGTGTGAGCAGAGTCTGTGCATTATATTAGGTCGTCCCAAAAGTATTTTCGCTTTTTTCAAACGGTTGCCACAATCGATAGAACAAAACTTTTTAAGAGATCTTGGTAGCATTTGATGCAGAATTTCGTTCTCTTTCTAATGGTTATAAAACTGTTGCAAAACAGTCAATGAGCTTTTAGAAAATAACCAAAGTCTGCGACCCATGCTTCTTGAGATGGTCATGTTTCACGATTTTGTAAAACTTTCATATCAATCTTCAGAAGGAGTTCAACTAACGGTTCGATAGAGTAAACCTCATAGAATACATGCAACTTTTTCCTCTTTTCCATAGCTTGTCATACATTTTTAATAGAATTTTAACTGATGCTACCGATTTCCATACTTGGACAGCTAAATCCTTGTAGAACATCAAAGGAAGAGCAGCTCGGGTGTTGATGCAGCATTTTCTCCTCTTTCTAATGGGTGTTTTTTGTTTCCGATTCGTTTAGTTTTCGAGGATAAAATCATCACAATTCATTTTTTAAGGAGCCCCAGGCTGTACCAGGAAAACTCGAAATTTGCTATTTCGCATTCGTAAACTCTCATTTGCTTTATAAATTCAATATTAAGTCATATATCATCTTGAAAGCTTGAAATTCCGAGTAACTACTGATGTTTGATGCGATTGTGGCTGAGGTGGGACTGCCAAAATCCGATGGCTTTGTTAAAAAATCTTTTAAAAAATTACGGAGAGCTAAGAGAAAGAGAAAAAAGAAGTGTTGTATTCTATGAGGTTTACTCTATCGAATCGTTACTTGAACTCCTTCTGAGGATTGATATGAAAGTTTTAAAAAATCATGAGACTTGACCATCTCAAAAAGCATGGGTCGCAGATTTTGGTTATTTTCTAAAAGCTCATTGACTGTTTTGCAACAGTTTTATAACCATTAGAAAGAAAATGAAATTCTGCATCGAACGCTACCAAGACCTCTTAGAAAAGTTTGTTCCATCGATTGTGGCAACCGTTTGAAAAAGCGAAAATACTTTTGGGACGACCTAATATATAGCATGCGATGCAACTGGGATGAAAAGCTCTCCGAAACTGGAAGAGCTTTTATCTGGAAACTAGACGCGAATGACCGTTCAAGCTCTGTTCCCGCTACTGTTCAGAAATGATCAACCTTCCTTGGAAAATTGTGAATATCTTTTTATTGTATAATACTTACCTATGAAGCGCGTTATCTTAAGTATATACTAATTTTAATATGATAAGGTGTACCAAAACTGGCTTACCTCGATATTGTCATGCCTGAGCCACTCAGGAGGATCAGTGATGGATTCCGGCGATAGCAACCTTAACTATATGTAGATATACGCATAAACAGACAAAAATCCAGAGTAATGAGCACATAGATAGGATAGGGCCGCCCGAAGCGTTGTCATCATTTCGCAGGATCGAAGACAAAAATCAGAGATACAATGTAAAATGAGTAAATCGAGAGATGCTATGAAAAGTGAGTGAAGTACAGAGTCTCCTCTTCTGCAATACATGCAGAAAACAAATTTGGAAAGTCGTAGAGTGCATTTCAAGCTCCTCTGTGAGCATCGGAAAATGTTAAAGGCAGTGTCCAGGCTAAACCTAACCCCCTCCGATTAGTGTCGGTCCTGAATGTAGGCCCCAGAAAAGGGGCATCTGCGTTGGTCCGGTCTTCTAGCGTTGTCTCTGAATGGAGATAAGGGGCCTGAAAGTCCCTGGCTGGGCGGAGTCTGATATCAGACTCCGCCCACCAGGGACTGCTCACTACCTTGTCAATACGTGCCCCCCGACACGTACTGACAAGGTAGTGAGCAGAAGCTGCACACTGCACACTGCAATGCAACTGCACCCATGCAGTTGCAGCTCCTTCTCTCTCGCCTGCCGACGGGGACGAGCAATTCGAAACTCGTCCGCGCCCTCAAGACTGGGTCCCCAAGAATCGGGTTTTTTGTGAATTTTAGAGAGTTTGAAGTTCGGAACTGTAATCAGGGCCATGGAAAGGCCCCAGAATGACGAAAACATGGGGGACCAAATTCTGGGTGGACGCTGCCTTTAAATTGATGGGAACAGGAGCTGCAGGTGTGAAATGACGAGTCGGATTGAACTATTTAAAAAATAATGCGAATATTGTCTGAACATGTCATACACGCACAAACATGACCGTGATATATCCTCATTGTCAGTTGCTTCGCAAACAAGTCACTAATTGTTTGACGTGTTTCAACGTGTTGTTTCATGAACGCACTGGATTTAGTTTATTGGCGACCCCACGATTTCTAGAATTCTTCAACGTAAAACTTTAAATTCGGGTCATCACAGGTGGCTGCTTCTTTGAATTGTGATGTAGGCGAAAAAAGGCCAAAGCTTTTAAAGTTGATTTGTGAAAAACCATGTCATTTTCAATTTAAAAATTATTACTTTTGAAAAAATCAAAACGATTACTAAGACAAAATTCCTCACTAAGTGTTCTGTGCCACCTGCCTCCTTTGTGCCAGTGGGCCAAACTCCAGCACCATAATGAACTACTAGCTTATTTACAGCATAAGCGATTACACAATATCAATCTTGGCTACATGTTTTTGATTACAATAGAATTTTTCTTTGAAAAACCCTATCAACCTTGACATGGTCAATCTGTATTGTACCAGCGCATATTTTCTAAAAGCTTGCAGATCACCTATGCGAATTCTTGTAGCATGGACCTCTGCGGAAGACATTCCAAACATTTGGTGAAGAAACTCTATGTGTTAAATCCTAACCTTGATATTATCTGGTTGTGAGTAGTAAAGCGGATGAGGCGTTCTCTTTAGCATCGCTTTCTGTGTACAAACCACTATCATAACTTATAATAACGGGCTAAGGATGTTTACGTGACTTTGTGTGTCTGTCTGTGTGAGAGTGTGTCTGTTACGAAATTCGTAAAGCGTGTTCCAGCCAACCTCCTGGGCCCAAATTTCGCACAGCGCATGCTAGCCGCAAGAAAATCCAACATGCAAAAGCACGAGCAGATTTGTTGAGTGGATCCCTCAGAAATTGCGCGCCAAACGGGTCCACCTGGCTTCTATACCGCAAAATTCGGTCCGTATCACCACTTTTTGCAGAGTCGTGGACGAGTTTGGTAGGCAACTGTGCAAGCGATGGAGTTTAGCCCGAAAAGTGGTCGAAAGTTTACTGCATAACGAAAACGGCGCCAAAAGAATTGGTTGTGTAAATGGTCAATTTGCCAAGGTTCTAGCTAAGCGTTTGAGAAGATTTTCGCACAATGATGTAGCTCACGGGTATCTTTACTTTCATGGCGACTACCAAGTAATGACAAATCCAAAAACCTATTCAAATTTGCGTTTGTTTTCCTGCGAAAAGTTTCATCCACGCGAAATCACCGATCTCACGTGAAAAGACTTTCTAAATGAGTGGTTGTTTACATTTTATTCGTGGTAGTCGGCATAGCGCGGTGAGTTCCAGTGTCATGATTTTCGAGAATGAGTAAGGCACATAGATAGTAGAGCCAGTGCGAGCCTCTGCGAAGCAGAGGTGACGCACTGGTTTTCTATATGAAAGTCACAGCCGGTTCTTGAGGGATGATTTCATTTATCGAGTCAGTTGAAACAGAATGATAATCTTAAAAATTACATGAGAGTGAAGCTGCAATGAGAATAATCCGCCTACAACACCATTTGACTCCAACGTCGGAGGCATAGGCAATTCTCAAACACGACTCTTGTATATTCAACATATCGTTCCCATTTTCAAGTGATAGGTGGTGTTAAGACTCCTATTTCGATATGTGTTTGGAAGGTTCATAGACCCAGAATAGAGATACTAATGAACAAAAAGCAGTTTGAACAAAAACTAGACTACTATTTTGGTCATCTCCCAAAGCTGTGTATCACAAGGCAAACCTTGGGAGAAAATAGGAAATTTACACTGTTGCCTACAAGCTGAAAGCACTACCATTAAAAAACGACCCAAAAGCCAATGCCCTTGAGCTTTTGCGAGATACATATTGTACCAAACATCACATCAGCTTGAATTGATTTTTCAGCAACGCGCACATTCCACCTTTCTCTACGCACTCTTCGCACAGGTGTGCGACTCACCTGACCTGCGAAGTGTACGACGCACCTGTGTGTGCATTGAGCGCTCCCAAAGGCTGTTTCGGTTTTAACCCAGTATCTCAAGGTACTACGGGCGTCTGACCTTCCCACTAGGGTTGTGTCAAAAACCTCAATTTTTGGACCGCCTTCTCGGGGATATCCGGGAGGGCAAAATATCCAGTTCAATGTTATATGGGCGCTTGGAAGCTTCTATGTTTCAATTTATATTTATATTCACTGCAACACATCTCCTATTTTACAACGCATATTGGAGATTTTTTACTTAATCGAAAAAATTCACTCAGAAATCACGATTATCCGTAGATAAAGAGATCAGCTTTTTTTTAGTTAAAAAGGTAGGTTGTAAAACCACAATCAAAAGTATTAGCTTGGCTAATAATCAAGTCTGGTTGCTTTTGAGACTTTTACAAATGCTGCAGTTTGCCCAATCCTTGGTATTTCTGATAAGAGCACTTCATTCCAAAAAAAATTGGAATTCGAGTCTGAACTGTGTTTGAGTAGAGCTTGTCTTCTAAAGAAAAAAGTCAGCAAAGAAGTGAGAATCCCAATTTTCTCATAGTGCGTAAATGGCAACTTGGTTTTCTTGATAAAAGACTTTCAAAATGGTAGATCACAATTTTCATTGTTATTCTCTGAATAGGGAAAACTCCTCACTATCCAAAAATCGAACCCTGTTCTCTACATCCATTACAGCATGAAAACGAAACTTAGGAAATCAAAGAATTTTGCAGCATGGAAACGAAACTTAGGAAATCAAAGAATTGAGTTTTTGTGATATCCATGTTGAGGCATAACTGTCTTTGATGTTGATAAAATCCTAAATATTCATTTGTGATAGAGGAAATTTCAAAACTACTTTCCCACAGAGAATCATGGACAAAAAACAACAAGAAAATTTTTTATCAAGATTTGCATGCCAAAATGAACTTATTTAGCCAACCTAACAGCAGTTTTGTTGTGCCTTCCTTTTTTCCTATTGCTTTTAGCGACCAGAACTTGAAAAAGTACGGTTTTACCGTTTTTATGTATCAGCTGTACCTCCGTGATACGCCAATTTGGATCTTGGCTCGAAATCAGAGCTGAATTCAAAAATCTATGGTTCTTCAGAAAATTGAACCATATATAAAAAGAACTGCCATATTTACCGAATGCAATTCACATCATCATTGAAGTGACAAAGATCAGAAAAGAAACGTTGGGGTTTACTATCGATAAAAAATACTCAAAAGAAAGAAAACAGTCAAATGCTTGAAAGGTATTTATTCATGGAGACTCGAGCAAAAGGCAGATTTAACCAAATCTAGTGTAACCCGAGCAGTAGATTTCGAATTTATCACGGAAATCATACATTATCGAGTAACAAAACTGTTACAGCGGATACCGATCGTATGCAGTCAAAAAAATTCATCAGTTTCACTGGCTCAGAAGCTGTACAGTCGTAGATTCTGGGTGCCGAATGGTAAGATAGAGTCTTTTGAAACGAGGAGTATCACTCTTTTCAAAGCAAACCTATCATTTATTCACAACCCAATCACTAACACCGAATGATTTCGGTGCAGTTCGACAACGCCAATTTTTGCCCTCCCGGATACCCCGGGAAGGCGGTCCAAAAATTAAGGTTTTTGACACAGCCACATGTGGTAGGTCAGACGCCCGTAGTACCTTTTGATACTGGGTTAAAACCGACACTCACCACGAATGCGCGCTGTGCCTTCACAGCAGCGTCGTACATTTCGTTGCCGAAGCAATACATAACCGTGTGGAAAATGCACACAGGAACTCAGGAAAGGAATCAGGACGTACTGGAAATGCAATGGTAAGCATCGCACCAAAGCAGCACTCCAAATATCCAATTTTTTCAATCGCAACCCGATTCCCCCATAAAAAGGCGTAAAACCTTTGAATCCCTAACTTCTGTAAAAAGTGCTGTACGACCTCTGAGTGTAATATAAAATTGCAACTAATATTTTTCTTGCCAGAACCCTCTAAAAAAAGTAGTGCAAGAATCAAATTTATGTGGCGCTACAACTATGGATAAGGTATTAGGTCATCCCAAAAGTTTTTTCATATTCGTACCTTCAAAATGATACTTCTCCAAAACTAAGGCATCTAGAAGGGTGCAAATTTGTGGGAGTTTTCTTGAGTGAATAAGCTATATAATGACATATTTGCGAGGGACACAGACTCATTACAGGCAAAGTT